TATACCTTACTTTAAGAAAACCTTTTTGTGTTTGACTTATTATGTTTACCAAGACCTTTTTAAATCTATTTGCTAGACTTGCTGTAGCTATCTTATAGTCTACACACAGTAGTGTGATAGGTCGCCAGTTCTTTAGATACAATTTTGACTTACCCTCCTTTGGTATACAGGTAATGAGTTCCTGTCTTTGAGTGATAGAGAACTTTCCATATTCTAAAGCCTCATTTATACATCTAACCAGTGGTATTTTAATATCATTCCAAAAAAATTAATAAAACTCAACAGTGAATCCATTTATACCAGGTGATTTAGAGTCCTTCATATGTTTAAGGGAAGACAGACATTCCTGCACTGATAAAGGTCCCTCACAGGAATCCACCTCTTCTTCATTGGGTTTTGTAATAAAAGGATTGTCATGCTGAAAAAATGTGTTCATGTGAGTTTCAAGTAACAATGGGTTAGAACTAGTATACAAGTTTTTTATGAAATTGTTTTTGTTCATTTCTAATAATACATTGATCTGTTATCTCAGATTCGTCCTCCAGAATAAGTTTGGGAATATTTTTTTTCTGTGTAATGTTTTTTTTCCAAATTACAAAAATAGTTACTTCCCTTTTCCCCCTCTACTTGCCATCTTGCCTTTGCTCTTGTAATTATCCCTTTGACATTTTTTCCCTTATTATTTTTAATTCTAGTTCCAACCCTTCCCTTTCTTGGTGTACCGATGGCAAGTTATTCTCTATGAGTTTTTTATCTAATAATAATATCTTATATAATAATTTTTTTTCTTTTTTATTTTGTTCCTTCTTCTGAAATGACGAAAATGAGATTGCAGATCCGCGAACTTTCATCTTAATCATATCCCATAAAAGCTGATAGCTTATATTAAACTGTTTATCCTCTGTCTCAATATCCATAGATGGATCAGACTCATATTCCTCGATGACAGTTTTGATGTCCCCTTTAACTTTTTCAATAAATTCAGTTTCCCTCAAAAGACTGTTATTAAATTTCCATGTACCCCTCCCTCTAATCTGGCTTGAAAATTTTAAATTAATAAGTACCGGAGAATGATCCGATCTATAACTAATCCCTATATCTGATGAAATTACAAATGCTTCTATATCAGAGGTAATCATGAAGTAGTCCAAACGACTTTGTTTACGATTTGGACCCCGCCGAGAGTACCTCTTTTCAAAAGGGTGTTGCAGGTGCCATATATCTAATAAATCAAAGTCATGCATTACCTCATGTATCTTGGCTTTTGACTGGGGGTTATTTTCATTTCTATAATGTAAAGAGAGTGCCACGTTCTTTGCACGTTAAGAACCCTTGCAACAACTCTTTGAGGGGTCCGTAGGTGGCCTGTTGCAAGGCTAAATTTCTGTCCCTATCCAATATACCCTCATTTCCCGTGGCTGCCTAATTTCTCCGACCTCAATCCCAGACGCCTCTATTACAGAACCTACCTATTGTATTTGTTGTTAATTTGTTCTCGTCCTGAATATGCATGAAATATTTGCCACTGGACGTTAAGCAACCAACAGACAATCAATTAATCATTTCTATAATATAATGTGTCAATCTCATAATCTTGAACAACATTCCAATCTCCGACCACTATAATTGACGAATTGCCATAGTGGAGTATTTTGTTTTTTATGTTCTCAAAAAAGACTGGTTCATCATTATTCGGTTCATATATTGCTGCCAAAGTTATACGGTAGTCCTGAATGGTGATATCTAATATAATAAAATTACCAGACAAATCTATAGTTTCCCCATGGATTTTAAATACAAAAGTATTTTTGAAAAGAATAACTATCCCTCTACTTTTACTAGAATAAGAACTAAATTTCCCCACATATCCCCATTCATGCAGCCATTGTTTTTCTTTTTCAGATGTGCTATGGGTGTCTACTAATATAATTATATCATATGAGTCCTTATATTTTGTAAATATATCTATTCTTTGAACTGTTTCTGATAAACCCCTGCAGTTTACACTACCAATAGTTATAGTCGACATAATATAATCAAGTGGTTAAACAAGAATAGCTTAAATAATAATAAATATAAATATCTATAAGCCCAATATATCCAAGCAGTATTAACAAAACATACACATGTGCATCTATCATGTCTATAGTTAAATGTGTTTTCACAATGTTTCAATTTTTTACTTAGAGTTACCCCCAACCCCCAAAAAACGTTTGTCGAGAGAATCATAGTATAAATAAAATGAGCAAATAATTTTTGTGCTTAAGTAAAACTAAAAGATATATCAAAAAAGTTCTGTGAAACTTCATTAGATCAACAAAACAGCATATTTACCAACACACATACAATTGTAAACAAAACACATACAAATATACACATACACATGCACCCCTACATCCTGATACAAGACCAATCATCTATATATACAAATGAATCAATATTGCTGAGCCCAACTTGGCTGTACATGCACATCTCTCACTTCAGTGTTATTTATCCAGAATTAAACTACATGTATCACTTAAATATTGTCTGATAGAATTTATTGACAAGGGTTTCATTTTATATGTGTTTGTTTATTAATCTCACGAATATGTGCATGGATTACTCTGAAGTATGTACCAGGGCAAATTTATAGTTAATAATGTCTTCGAAATACATTTTTAGCGGTGCATTATTATCGTATAGAACAAATAAGATTTGTACTTCTGTTTCCAAGAGGAGACGGTGTTCGTTGTATGTTTACTTATCCGTGTAGTGTCAAGGAAGCTTGTAAATCGAAGAAGATCAGATTGAAACCCGATTACTTCTGACCAATATTATTTAAAAGTGTGTATCTCAAATGTATTGTTTTTGTTAAATTCTCTACCAGAAGTTTTGAAACGGATAGAAATATTAAAGACCAATACGGAAATAGACCTTAAATTCCGGAAAAAAATAAATTAGGTACGCCACTCCCAGATAATACAGGCTACAATACAAGGATTCATACTTTTAGCTTTGGTGTTGAACAACACAAAAAAAGAACGAAATTTCTACAAGAACAACAACAAAGAATAAACGACAATAAACAACTTTGAATAAATGTACAACAAATGTTAAAACCGGTCATTTTACGATTTATTCTTATGAGTTGAGTTTCTGCCTAATGTTGTCATAAATGTCAAAACGATGACGTTCCCCCTTGCTGTCAGTGCCATATATTAGTCCGTTGAAATACCACGCACTGGTGACATCCTCGTGCAGGTATAACCTATTTATCAGCCCTTTGTTCAATTTTGTGACATCGTCAGAGATACGAACTTCTAACTTCTCATTAATAAGTTTTCTATTTCGCTATATAGAGATTTTTGATTCCATGCTCATAAATTTCACAAGAATTGGTCTAGGTTTGCCGTGTTTTCCTGGTATTCTGTGTGCGCTATAATCTCTGATGGATCAATTTTTACATCCAGTTTACTAATCTCATAAAAAAAGCTTTGAGGCAATCTTTCCCCCTTTTTTTTCTGGAAAGTCAAATATTTTAATATTTTTTTTCCTTGAGTATTGTTCATTCCAGTTCGACAATTGCATTGCTTCGGTTGCACGTCTACCCGTATTTACAATCTCTTCTTTCAAAAGCCTGTGTTCTTTGTGAAGGTTTGCGTTTTTTTTCTAAGATATTCGCATTGTCAAATTCTACACTGTTTATTCTTTTACTTAGCCTAGATACCTCTGACTTTAAGTGCTGTTCTACTTTCTCTTTATTAGTTTAAATTTCAACCATCCTTTCTTTTTTAAGTTCTTTTTTCATCTCTTTTTTCCATTTGGGCAAGTAAGCTTGTAACTGTTTCAGTGAAAATCATTTTAACATCTTCTTTTTTCAATATGTTTTTCATTGAATTTCTTATCTCATTTAATTCGGTTTCGATGCATAGACCATGGTCGCCATCGCTAGATAGACATGTATGCGGGCGTTTTGCAGATTTGGGTTTTGCAAGTGTTGAGTCACTAAATACAGAGTCATCATTTTCCTGTGTAGCAGAGAGTTTGCCAACATTAGCTGTCGATACAAAGCTCGTAATTTGCTGTTAACTTTTCTCTTTAACCACGTTTCACAGATCGAAGGTATATCCTTAAATCGTTTATATCTTTCTTATTTTCCTCTCCCATCGCTAATGAACGTTCTACCAATGCATCGATTTTTAACATGGTACTACTTTGCATGAGTAACGACGTTTTGTTGATGTATCGATTTTTTGTTGAAGAATAGTTTCAAACTCTTTTACCTTCCCTCAAATTCTTGTTGAAGTCTAGTTTCAAACGTATTCATTTTCTTCTTAAGTTTTTTAATGGTTGCATCATATTCTTTTTCCATTTGTTTGATATCCTTTTTTATTTGCTCACACTCGGATTGTAATGCTTTGGTTTTACTCATACCATCTTTCACCTGCTGCATAACCCAATGTTTCGTTGCAGCATCCGTACCGTGACTCGGAGATTTTAAGTTAGTAATACGATTGTCGTTCTTATTTAGATCTTCGAGAAAACTATTCCTATTGATGTCTTCATGGTCATACGTTCCAAATTTATCTGTCATTTATTTTTAGCACCAATGAAAACACAACGTCATTGAAAGATTGACCTTCCGACAAACATTTTAAAACATACAAATAAAAGTGTCCACACACCACTGTTCCTCTTATCTGTTGTTCATCGGTGTTGTAGTCGATCTAAGGTTTTAGTAATTTACTATTTCATTGGGGGGTTGAAGTCCGTAAGAGTCGAAATACCCTTTGCTAGTAGTCGTCTTAAACCAACACGTCCAATGGGTTCCAGGACCCCTTAAGGTATCATGGTTTAAAATACCACACTCTTTTCTGTATGGTTGGGAAGGTAGGGTATCCCGCATGAATATACCTCTAAAATGAGGTATCTCTAGAATCTTGACCGCTTTCTCCAACTCTCCGTTGGATAGGGGCTTGTCGGGAAGTAGAATGACAGACAAAAACCACGATGGGCAGAGTGGATGAATTGATACAATTTGTAAAGAAAACCACCGGGTTAACCATTGATCAGACGACCAGACGAGGCTTCAATATGGTGTTTGGGAATCCCACATATGACCTTAATGAAAATGGGACTATTGAATTAAATGGTATGTATGCATTTCTACTGACAAGTTCAGAAATGTTTTGTCAAGGAAATAATACTACTACTACTATTTCTCGTGTCACCTGTAAACATGCATTTTCGATGAGACTTGCAATTTTTTAAGTGGCTTCCAGGTAAAAAAATATAGATTTGGTTTGTTGTTTCATGGATAGTTTAGAACATATGATTTTATTGAACTAAATATCATATTTGATATTAAGCATGAATTCACACATTAAACAATGATATAATATTCGCTGGTTTTTGTAACAGTCTGTGATAATTAAATGTCTTTAACGCAAAGCTATCATTTTCCAGTTATGTGCAGGTATACATGAATATTATATTTTATGTGTTCTCTGAAATTACTTTTTTTTAGTCCCCTACCGACGAAGTCGAAGGGGACTTTAGGTTTGCACTCTGTCCGTCTGTCTGTCCGTCCGTCCGTCTGTCCATCCGTCAGTCCGGCAAATCAGTTTTCCAGACTTTTTTTCTTCATGCTTGAAGATATTGATTTGATATTTGGTGTATTGTTTCATCATGACAAATTACAGGTCAAGTTAGATTTTCACGATTTTAGCTTTTCTCCTTGTTCAGTTACATTTGTAAATCCCTTTCCCTAGATTTAATTTTTTGATGAAATACTTTTTAATTACTAGATTTCTGTTAAAAAGGAATTAACTCATTTTTTAACTTTCCTTAAAATTAAATTTTTGATGAAATACTTATTAACTACTAGATTTCTCTTCAAAGGGAAATAACTCATTTTTTTTAAAGATTTATAAAAGACATTGTATTAAGATAAATGACATTTTGGATTTTTTTCCTTTTCTTCAGTAAATTGTTTGAAGAATTAAGTGGTAGGTTTTTTCCATTACAATGAATTTTTAACCAATAGGGGACTATATATTGCCAAGCAATACTCACAGAATGCTTGTTCTTCTTCAGAATATGCTGGACTTGTGAGAATGGGAATGGGAAAATAGAGCGACAAAATGTATCAACCTGTGAAGACTGGAACTGTACAACTTTAATTATAACCAAACTGATAATTATATTGTCTTAAAATCTTTAAGGAATTTCTCCTTATGTAACTTGATATAAATAAAAGATATCTATGTCTAATATACGTCTTAGTTACATTAATATATAGATGGTATGATTGCTAATGAGACATTTCTTCACAAGAGACCAAATGACTTAGAAGTTCACAACCGTATAGGTCACTTTTCCGCCTTCAGCAATGAGCAAAATCCATATCGCATTGGTCATGAAAAGTGTTGATATCGTCGTTGTATATACTTGAAATTGCTTTTGTATTTCATTGCCTATTTAAACGAACGCAAAAATTTACGGCCGTATAATAGTATGACGATATCAATGTCGTTGTCGTCGTCTCCGAAGACATTTGGTTTCCAGACAATAACTTGAGTATAAGTGTATGAATCTCGTTTTACCATTTTTTTTTATCCCCCGCGCAACGCATTGCACGTGCAGTTCTTGCCAGATTTTTATGAAACTTATATCATAGGTTTATATCAGCTATGTCTTGGACGAGTTTGAAAGTCAGTGCCAATAAATTATTTTTAAAAGAGTTATGCCCCTTGGAAACATTAATTATATGGAAAATTGCATTGTTAGCGCTCTCATATGTACAATTCTTGCCAGATTTTATGAAACTTATATCACAGGTTTATACTGGCAATGTCTTAGACGAGTTCGAAAATCAGTGCCGATCAATTATTTTTAAAAAAAATAATACGCAAATACTGATCGACTATACAGACAGAATTCGAATTGCGTTATACAAGGAGTTACTTATACAGATTCTCATCAAACTATTTTCAACAAATTTTGCGGTGTCTCCTGCGGACAACTAGGCCCGGAGACAAGTCGGGCCGAGTCAAATCAGACCGACTTATAAGTCAACTCGGACTGTCTTTGAAGACTACTCCGTTCTAGAGTTAAGCCCTTTACAAATGGAAAATTTGCTGAATTTTTTCGTTTCCGTTCTTTAACTTACGTTTGCTTCAACCAAATGATATGAAACTTATACACAATGCTTATTACCACAAAATACAGGTAAAGTTGGAATTTTGGTAGTGTCACTTTAACCGTTCTAGAGTTATGCCTGTTTACAAATGGAAAAATGCTGATTTTTTCGTTTCCGTTCTCTTACTTAAGTTAAGCTCAACCAAATGTAATGAAACTTATACACAATGCTTATTACCACAAAAATACAGACCAAGTTTGAATTTTGGTGGTGTCACTTTAACCGTTATAGAGTTATGCCTGTTTAGAAATATAATAATTGCTGAGTTTTCTATCCCTAACTTTAGTTTGCCTCAACCAAAGTTATGAAACTTATACACTATGCTTATTACCAATAAATACAGGTCAAGTTTGAATTTTGGTGGTGTCACTTTAACCGTTTAAGAGTTAATTTATGCCTGTTTACAAATGGAAAAAATGCTGAATTGTTCGTTTCCGTTCTCTTACTTAAGTTAGCCTCAACCAAATGTTATGAAACTTATACACAATGCTTTTTACCACAAAATACAGACCAAGTTTGAATTTTGGCGGTGTCACTTTTACTGTTCTAGAGTTATGCCCCTTTACAAATAGAAACATTGCTGAATTTTTCGTTTCCGTTCTCTAACTTAAGTTTGCCTCACCAAATGTTATGAAACTTATACACAATACTTATTACCAAAAAACTCAGATCATGTACAAATTTGGGTAGCGTCACTTTTACCGCTCTTCAGTTATGTCCCTTAATTACTTTAAATGATATGCAAGCAGAGTCATCATCTGTGTCCCTTGGACACATTCCTTATTTGTTTTTTTTATGCCCCCGCCGTTACGGAGGGGGCATTAAGTGTTACCCTTGTCCTTCTGTACGTCCGTAAGTCCGTCCGTACGTCCCAAACTTGGTTTCCGTCCTCTAACTTAAGTTTGCCCCAACCAAATGTTATGAAACTTATACACAATGCTTATTACCACACATCACAGATCAAGTACGAAGTTTGGTGGCATCACTTTTACTGTTCTAGAGTTATGCCCCTTTACAAATGGAAAAAATGCTGAATTTTTCGTTTCCGTTCTCTTATTTCAGTTTGCCTCAAACAAATGTTATGAAACGTATGTGCAATGCTTATTACCACAAAACACAGATAAAGTTTGAATTTTGGAGGCGTCACTTTTACTGTTCTAGAGTTATGCTCCTTTACAAATGGAAAAAATGCAGAATTTATCATTTTTATTCTCTAACTTAAGTTTGCCTCAACCAAATGTTATAAAATTTATACGCAATGCTTATTACCACAAAACTCAGATCAAGTACAAATTTGGGTAGTGTCACTGTTACCGTTATAACGTTGTCCCTTTATAACGTTGTATGCAAGCGGGGGCATCATCTGTGTCCCATGGACACATTCCCCGTTTATTTGTGTAATGCGAATTTTTACTTATCTTTATCAATTTATTATAAAGCATGATTTAAGCAAAAAAAAAAGTTGAATCTTTATTCATTATTTTAAAGTCAACTCGGACCGTCAATAATGCCAACTCCAACAAAGTATAAACATAGAGTTTGTGCTATTAATATGATAACATGCTATATTTTTAAAGTATCCTTTAATTTCTACTTCATTATGGTGATTGTATATTTTGAATAAAATCTACATTAATTCATTAAACAAACTTAATAGATTCGTTAATTATATTCGTCATTTCGTAATAATAATTTGATAAAATCAACAATCAATAATGTAAATTTAATTATTCTAAAAAGAATCTAACAAAACATTTTTATTTCGTAAACGCTCTAATGTTATACTTATAGTCTTAGTCAGCATTATAGATAGTCCGAGCTGACTTTATATACGGTTCGAGTTGACTTATTGACGATCCGAGTTGACTTATAGACTATCCGAGTTGACTTTATATACGGTCCGAGATGACTTATTGGCGGTTCGAGTTGACATTTTGACGATACGAGTTGACTTTATATATATTCCGAGTTGACTTATTGACGGTTCGAGTTATCTTCATTGACGGCCCGAGTTGTCTCCGGGCCGACTCCTCGTCTCGCACCCGGTCAAAATGTCAAATGTGGAAAAATATTCAACTAGTGACCGAACAACAACTTAATTCACGAATGCGCGTGGAGCATGAGTTAATCATCATTGTTGTTCGGTCATGAGTTTACTTTATTTGAATAGTAAAAAGAAGGTAAATTAATAGACAAAAACAAAACCGGGGACTAGAATAGCACAAAACGACAAATGGACACACAAACGCCGAAATATAAAAACAAATAAAATACCCTCCGAACCCGTAAAAAGAAAAAAATGTGGGAGGAACGAAGATAAGAACTCAGCAGTTGCAATACGCACTTGTAACAACTTCAAATATCCCGCATGGTAAAAATAATTGGAATCTAAACGGACAACCAAAAATATTATCGAGAACGGAGTTGATCTTTTGGATAAAATTACCCTTAAAAATTTTGGTAGCGTCACTTTTACCGATTTTGATTTATGTCCCTTTATGTCCCTTTATAACGTTATATGCAAGCGGGGGCATCATCTGTGTCACAGGGACACACTACCAATTTATGTTTGCCTAGACAGTAGCTTCAAGTTAAGACTTGACTTCAAATATCACTTTGTTTTAGATGTATAATCAGTGACTAAACAGCAATAACTTTTGTTGAATCATTTTTCTGTCAGAGCTCTTGCACTGTGCTTGAACGGCTGTGGATAACTTTAGCATGATGTCCGTAACTTTAGCATGATGTCCGTAACTTTCAAAGAATTGATATTCGTGGATGTAATGATTACAAGAAATGATAAATAACAAAATACCGAACTCTGAGGAAAATTCAAAACAGAAAGTCCTTTATCAAATGGAAAGCCAAAAAGTTCAAATTAACACACCAAACGAATGATAACAACTGTCATATTCCTGACTTGGTACAGGCATTTTCTTACTCTAAAATTGCTGCCTGTCTATGTTTTAGATTTTTTCGAATGTATTAATAGAAATAAAGTAAATTTCTGGTATGATATGATTCGTTTGTGAATATCATGCTTTTTGGTATTATACCCAGCTAACAAAGTCGACTCTTTTTTCAGATTACATGTATTAATATTCTCCCTGCCATTATACGTCTACTGACAAAAATGCCATACTCTATCATTCAATCAATCAACACAATAGGTTTTTTTCAAAATTTAGTATAAGGAAACAAGTTTTGGACGAAAAATCAGGACATGCAGCTTACAAATCTCATCACTTCCCACTACAGATATCACAAATAACAGATCAAATTACTAAAGGCTTTAAACCAAACATAAATAGTGAAAATATGAAAATCACCTTTTAGAGAACAAGTTCAGTTGTCAATCCTGACCCAAAATACATAGATTAATCTGTCCAGATCCCTGAAGAAGATATTTATGCTTTGATACCCGATGTAATTGAATCCCTGAGGTCAATGAGTCGTCTGGAAGATTTTAAATCTACATTAATTGCAATAGTAAATGGACACCTGTTCAACAATATAGCCTTCCATTTACTCTTAGATGTTGGCAATTTTTTTTTTCACAGAACACTATACATAACACTAGATATAGTGAAGAGACCATACTTTTCTGGCTAACAATTCAAAAATTATTTAAAGGAAAGGGTATAAACTTTTTCCGCGGATACAAAGGCCAAGGACTCAGCAGTGAACAATCCATAAAGCCAAAAGAATGCAAGATAAATTTCGTCGTACCGTCATATCCCGTGTTATGTAAGCACTCTGCGAAGTACACTTTGGACGCTGCTAAACCAGGTTTATTGGATTTATCTTTAAAAATCGTATCAGAAAATTTAAAAGGGAAAGATGTAAAGCTATCAATAGATGGCAAAAATCTAGCAAGTGGCTTTGGTAAGCTCGGTGATGAGGATCTCGGTGGGCACGAAACTGCACCAACATTACAAGAACGTCAGATTCGCCTAGATGAAGAACGCAGGGGATTTGAAACAAAGAAGGAAATTGTTAAGAAAGCTACTTCCGACGGTAAAAATACAATCCACGACTTCGATGCAGTAGATAAAAGTACTATAAAGAACGC